ATTGCATGTAACAGTAGTGATTTCAAAGAAACTTCGACCTTGAAAACTTCATTCTATGCTTTCATAAGATCAAAATTGGAATTTGCGTCAGTTGTGTGGAGCCCCTTTTATCAATATCATATTGATGGAATAGAAGCAATTCAACGACGATTTTTGAAACTGCTAATCCTAAAAACCGATGGCATTTATCCTCCAATAGGAACAACCCACTCTGAATTGCTACAAAAGCATAACTTTTGCAGTCTCGGAAAAAGGCGTGAATATTATACTCTCGAAAAAAGCATTATAAATAAAAAATTGTAATCTTTTTAGTCATTTGTTTGTATTGTTTGTAGTGTTTGTAGACTTTACAGTCACTTGTTTGTGATGTATTTATTATACTCTGTTATTTCCTGCTCTGTAACTGGGCTATGTCCTGTAGAGTATTGTATTACAAATAAATGAATGAATAAATAAATTTCAAACGTGGTCATAGAGACACCGATTATGTAGAACGCAGTGGACGTCAAAATTAGGCAGTAACACCAGAAAACATTAAAAAAATCCACAAAATCGTTTTGAATGATCGAAAAGTGAAGTTGTGTAAGTTAGCTGACATTCTAACGATATCAAAAGAATGTGTCGGCTTTATATTGCATGAGCATTTGACTATGAGAAAGCTCTATTCTAGGTGAGTGCCACGTGAGGTCACTTTGACCAAAAACAAGAACGTCTTGATGATTCTGAGCAGTGTTTGGCCATGTTTAAACATAACAAACCGAAATTTTTGCTTCGATATATGACAATGAATGAAACTTGGATCCATCACTTCACTCCGGAATCAAAACGATCGTCTTCTGAGTAGAGAGTAACTGGTAAACCTCGTCCAAAGCCCCCGAAAGCACAACAATTCCCTGGAAGTGTTATGGCCTCGGTATTTTGGGATTCCCGTGGTGTAATATTCATCGACTATCTTGAGAATGGAAATACCATCAACAATGTATATTATATAGCGTCATTGGAGAGTTTGAAGGTCGAAATTGCAAAGAAACGACCGCATACGGCAAAGAAAAAATGTTGTTTCATGAAGACAACGCATTTTTTCACAAGTCAATCGAAACAATGGCAAAATTGCATTGATTATGCTTCGAATGGTTCCGCATTCAAAAATAAATAAGGAACTGTTAGTTGAATGGACTCAATTTCATTAAATTATCAAGAGAGTGTGAAATAGATTCGTCAAAAATTACATATAATCCTGCATAGTATATATTATAAATTACGAAACCCCTATAATTCAACAGAAAGAGAAGTCGTCTAAACGAGGCCACTAAGTTCTACTGTACCGCCGTCACCATTCAGACAGTTGAATAATGAGGGAATATCCGTCGTAATTAATACTGAACACGTGACGGTTGATTGCCAAACTCTGCGGAGAAGTTAACTTCACTTACCTTCAGATCCAACTTCAATATGTCATTGTCACGGTAGAATTGCAGGTCAATGTTGATGTCTCTGAAATTGGGAGACCTCAGAAGTAGTTTTACGTGATGGTCAGATGCGAGTGATGTACTCCTGTCCTGATAAAAGCCAAACGCCGACATTCTGTGGCCGCTGAACCACGTTCCAGAAAAATCTATCTGTGGAGAGTACATTTCAGTTAGGCGATTAGAAAAGAGAATATGTGAAAGTGAATGTGTGGAAAAGTTATTGTCCTCTGATATCAATGAGGAAAGGAGCATCTATTTGTTTATGAATTCCAATGACATCGACCATACCATTTCACAAACTGAAACAATTTGAATCAGGTTTGCAAAAAAAGTGAAATATAAGTTCATGGAGAGGGTTCAGGAGAGAAAAATAAAGTGAGATGAAAATAAATTATAGCAAGAGAGATTGAAAAAATGCCATCAAATATAAAATGACAGACGGATTTTTGGTAGTGTAGTAACCGAATGAGAAAAATGAAATACAGTGCAGTTTGTGTAAATGCACACTGGTTGAAAATAACGGGTGAGATGGATCTCAGCAAGAAAAGGAAGAACAAGAACTCGGTTCAACATTTCTGAAAACTTCAATATATCTAGTCTTTCTTGGCCAGTTGAAATACAAATTTTTGAACTTCCTGGGTAAGTAGTAAACAACAAACATGAACTCTTATAACACTATATTCCTAATATTTGAATAGTCTATCATCATATTCAGGAAAAAAGTGTTGGTGGGGATGATGTAATTATATGTTCATGGAAAGATCAATACACCATGAAGTGAAAAACACAAAAAAATATTCTCAAAGAGAGTCGTAGTCAATAATGAACAGATTTTTTTTCTGAAATCCCATGTTTCAAAAAAGTTCAATTGAATCTCAACAATATTTTGAATTCATTAAACTTATGTGTAAATCTATTTACAAATAATATCAATTCTGTTGTAAAAACGCGTGGGATACTTTTAATTATATTTTTATAATGGGTCTGATTTGGCAAACAGCTCCTGCCCAAGTATTCATAACAATGGATATTTAGCACCCCCCGCTTCTTTGCAACAAAATTATTATTTTTGGTAAAAAGGTTTATTCTGATTTCAGACTTATTAAAAGTAATTGGTAACATCAAGCCATAGGACTCATTATCGATGTTGAACACAATCTTGAACTAGTTTCGAATTATTTTATTTCCTTCCCTCCAGCCTTCCTCTGGTAATGCGGGGCCTTGCCAGATGTGACCAACTCTTCCCTTGCTACTCGTGGGAACACACATGAACGAGACAGACACGAAAACAGACACAACATAAACAAAAACCAATCCCGAGGCTGGACAGAAGTGCTCACCTTAGTCCATGGCGGTGGCTGGGGATGAACAGAAATGTCCATCCCAATCTACCGCTCGGTGGACATGGCAGATCACCTCGTGATGTAATACAAAAACCCAAAGCGTAAGCGCATTTGCGGCGCCGAGGCCAAAAGGAGAAAGAGAGCAAAGGAGGTAAAAGTGGCAGCAAGTGTATGTACACCCTCCTCCTCCCCCACTCCACCTCCAACAGCAAGGGCACTTCCTGCGGAAGGCGCCAACAGCTCCGCCTTGAATAAAGGCAAGGAACCGGCTGCCTCTGCAGGAAAGCGCCCTCACTTGAGCACCTCCACGGAGGAAATCCCAAGAAGATTGAAGAAGCTGTGCAACGACAGTAATGTCGCTGCACCTTCCAAAACCTTCGCGGAGGCCGCCGTGAGATACCTCAAGGTTGCCATCATAGATGAGACTGACTCGTACGGTAAGGTTACCGCAGAATGGTAGAGTTGCATCAAAAATCAACTGCTGGAGGAGCTGGACAAGGCCATCTTCTCCGCCTCCAGCAGCAACAGCAAACCACCCACGTTCAAGTCGTGGACATACTCCGGTGAAATCATCAGAGTGGTCTGCGATGATGACGTGACGCTAGAGTGGCTAAAGAAAGCCACAACAAGAGAGTGTGTGTGTTCGGCGAGTTTTGGCCTACACCTGCCGATATGAAGGATATGTCTCCCAGTGACCTGTCCACCTTCCTGGAAAGGACAGGATGGACGATGATCTAGAAGGACAACTCCTCGGGATGATGTATAATGGGTCACATGTGGCCTAAGTGCTGTTGGCCTATACATTTATGCTGTGGAGGAAACATTTTGTCGATTTCCTTGCATTAGGACCCTGCTGTGATAGATTGGTCTGGTTGCAGTGAGTTATAGTCAATCACTCCAGCCACTAACCACCATACAGTAACCATGGTCTTTCTTGGTGGATTTTCGCCTTCAGGAAGTGCCTAAGCGGCTCATCGGTGTCCAACCACTGTCCTGTCGTCGTAGAAAATCCACTTTTCGTCACACGTGCCGATCCAATCCAAAAAAGGATTGTTTCAGTTGCGTAAAAGTAAAGAAGAGCAGACCTAACCTAACAAAAAGCTAATAATTTCTGTCGATAGTTCAAATCGTGAGGCACCAACTTTCCAAGCTTTTTAACCTTTCCAATACGTTTCAAACCATCAAAAACCGCATGGAAACTGAAGCCATTTCTTCCGATATCCCACGCACCATTTGTGACGGGTCAGTCTCCACCAGGGTTCTCAAATCTTCGTTCTGGATCACTGTAGATCGCTATGTTAATACCTCGACACGTGTTTCGATCACCAAGTGATCATCTTCAAGAGGAAGATTGAGTTTAATCTTCCTCTTGAAGATTGAAACACGTGTCGAAGTGTGATTTGGTGTTGGAAAAAACTCCAGTAATATTCGGCAACGTTTTGGTTCAATTCAAATTTGAAGGGGACAATTCGCCGAAAAGTGCTGAACATTATATAGTCAGGAGCTGAAAAGATGCAAAAAATGAAAAGCAACATCGTATAGAGTGAAAAATTCTCAATGGATCAGTATACACCACGATATAGTGGAATAAATATTAATTGAGATATGGAGCTACAAAAAGACATGACATTAAAACGGACAAAACTTTCTAAACGACCTAATATCAGTAACAATTCCCTGACTCACCATATAATCCTTTCTGGATTTTTCAACGATTTCCAACTTCAAAATCATTGGCGTGAACGATGGTATCGTGACGTTAACATGTGTTTTAATTTGTTCTAAAGCGGTTCGTGGATGCGACCAGAATATCGTTACTGAAACTTCTTTGTTCTTTCCATACTTGACTAGTAATGCGGTCGTAATATTTTGACGGAACGTTTCATAGATGAATTCTCCCTTCAGATCCAAATTGCTGGATTTCCTGTTCAGTGTTGAAACCGCTCTGAATATTCGCTTGTTATCGGTGAATACTTTAGAAGACAGCAGTAGCTCGAATTTTAGTGTTTTGAAGTCGGCTTCTGGGTGATTATTTGGAAGAGGATTCTGATGGAGTTTTATGGTGAGATCTGTGTGCCCTCCGATGTTCTGGAAACGAATGCGTATACATTATTACAACCTATAATATATTCGTTATTTGAAAATTGATCAGTGGTACATTCATTTCTATTAGAAAATATCCATTGTGAGTTTCAGAAGAAATTGTATTAAAAAAATCCTACTTTCAAGAAGACCTTATTATATGATTTCAATGTTCACCTTATGTTCTATATGTTCATACTGAAAAGTTGTATATTCATGTTCAAGCACTTTTCTTCAGATGAATTTCATAATTAACAATACCTTTAAAACATTAATTGTTCATTCGCTAACAGAAGAATTTTGTATAATAGTTTATTGAGGCCCAAATTAGAATTGGGTGCAATAATTCGGCATGGAGAATACCAGACTACATCATTCTTGCTAGAAAGAATTGAAAACAAATTTTCAAGCATCACGTATATCCCGATTATAATGTAGTTAGAACTACCCATCTTAGACATGAATTCAAAATTCTATCTTCGGAAGATCGAAGGGTGCTTAACATTTTGATGTTTTTGTTCAAAATTATCAATAATAAAACTAATTCACCAACGGTACTTTCTTTACTGCGATTGAATGTGCCTCCAAGGAGAACGCGCTCTTCTGTTACATTTAATATCCCTGTTTTACAAAGAACTAATAGAGCTCCTCTTGACTAGCAACACACTCATTGATCTGGATTGGTCAATAACTCAAAATATGTTTAGAAACATTATAATCAAACAAATTATTGATTTATCATCATAATGCTAATTGATTATAATTACTACTCAAATAAATTTTCTTATTTGTTAAATTGAAACTAATATTGTAAAAATCATAGTGTTAAGTTTACTTTTACTTTCGTTTTTACGTTTATGGCTACTATGATTGAGAGAAAATATCACATGAGGCAGTGGCATTGGCATATTCCATAAAAACGCAAAGACTTGATGATTTTTAATCAAAATTGGTCATTTTTTTAATGACTCTACTTTTCTCGACAGTGGAACTCCACGTTATTTTGGGTTTTTAGGCCCCCGTTTGTTGAAATATCTTCCTGACGTTTCACTGACGCGAGTGACTGGTATCTTCAAAGGTCCGTGTTAGGTTCTCAGTATGAGTTAGATTTAATATTTGATTTTCAATAATCGTTTGAATCGTTAAGTTGCTAAATATCATTAATTGTCTTTTTCCAGGAAGGAAAGTCTAGTACAATTTACTTATGGAATTGATAACAATACCATCAGTCGAGTAGACTCTTCATTACAGTCGCATTTCTATATAATTTATTAAATAATAATATTTCTTGTGCTCCGCTTCCTAAAAATTATGTACCACGCTTCAACTCAAGATAAGAAAAAATATTTTATTGGCAGAGTAGTGGAACAAATGTGAGTCTCAGGAGACCAGTAAATATAATGTGTTATAATTTCATTCTAGTATGTTCATCGAACTATATCAAAGATTTCATCTTACATAGAACCTTTCATTCATAATTGTTTTCCCTGATTTCCAATTGTTTTATATCAATATCGTGAAGATTAATTCATTTATAATATGAAATCAATTATTTTTTCAACATATCTCAGTGGATATAAAAATAGGGGAATCTTTTAAAAAAACTATCAGTTTTATTTTTTCAACATATTTTCTTCAACATTTCCTGTAATTGGGTATACACCTGTTGGAAATGAAGTGTTATCAATCTATCTATATATCTATCTATATATCTCTCGGTCTCATAACACGGACCTATGACCGTGCCGATGAAACGTCAAGAAGAAATTCCAACAAACGGCAGCATGAAAACAAAAAACAGATTCAAAAGGTGGCCGCCAAAGCCTGAATCTTTGCATAGGGATAGATGAAAGAGCCATAATTTTTTCATTTTTTTTTCTTATCAATTCCGATTTAAAACTATAGAGTTCAATTTCTTCAATTTCGAAATTCCGACTTGAATCTAGGCACTTCCAATTTTAGGTCGATTTTTCGAGATTGAAGTAGAAAGATCATAGTTGTCTTGAGAAAATACTCATTATAATACACTTTGTGGATATACACCTACGTTTTCCATCTTCACGAAACTCATGGATATTGAAAACTCAATATAAATATATACTGGGTGTCCCATCAAAAACAGATATAGTAAATATATTCTGTAGCCAAAAACAGCAGGACTCGTCCAAGTTCATATCAAGGATATTAGATTTTGGCCACCTTATTTTTTCAATAAGAAAAGGGGCCTACAAGTTGATGGAGATTCATCTCTATTTTCATAGAGTCGAAATTTCGACTTTTGAAGTCGGAATTTTCAAAAGAAACAAATAATTAAAATATGCCCTTATGCACTTTCGTATAAATCTCTCTCTACAGTGTTTTTATTCCACCCGATAGTTTTGTGAAGGATAATATCAACCAACAATGAAAGCTAAATTCTCTCAACCTCTTATTCACCACTTAGTTGATTGAAAGTTCATAAACACCGTACAGTAATAAAACTGAATTGATTTGACGGTACCCGACAATTCCGACAATTCTAGAAATGCCTGTTTCGTTACATTAATTTTACTTTTCAGGAATCTCCACAAAAAATATACAGTCGTGGCAAATCTGATGATTTTGGAGGCCGTATCCATGCTACGCCTTGTTGAAATTGTTGAAATTACAAAACTCTCAGGCATAATTTCAAAATTTAGGACTACTGTGAAGATAATTTCAAAGGATTTCATTTTACCATAACTCGAGTAATGTTAAAATGAGTGCTTATTAACATATCTGATACTTCTACAGTATTCAGAAAGCAATTGTTCACGCAATTCAGAAGTATTGAATTCATTATGGAGAATATCCTCCATATCCTCAAAGGATTTACTCATTTACCACCTCAAAGTCATCAAGCTTATACTTGATAGATAGAATGTCACTCAAAATCGGTCTCTGAAATGGTTTCTCGGGTGAAGAACTAGAAACTAAAAGAAAGAGTCGACAATGAAAATTTCTCAAAATTTTCATGTTTGAGTGCTCTTCAGTAACCACATCTGAAAGCTTTTATTTGAGTGATATGTCACTGAAATAAAACTAATCTATATAATTTAGATTCTGATTAAAAAAATCAGCATATTGATTGGTTCGCCATATAGGTCATGTGAAAACTTTTTGTTCAGTTGTCCTCCAAACATAAGCAAAAAATCAGCACTCAAGTCACTGTGAATATCCAAACTGGAAATATCTCCCTACAAGAGTTGAAGATGTGAATTTAAAATAATTTGATAATATAAAACAAAAACCTTTCAAGATATCAATGAAATTGGGGTGGAAAACATGCATAAAAATGTGTCTTACCTGGAAAGTAGCGTTTGCAGCAAAATTCATATTCGGATAAGCAGTAGAAACGAGTCTGGAGAATCCTTCGAAAACCACTAAATTTTTATGGGATCTGTTCGCTGCACCAAATACTATACTGACCCTCTGTTCTTTCATATGAAGGAATTTATAATCATTGAACAAACTAGCTTCCAAGGAAGATTCGCTTTTCGATATATATCCGTAGAGTCTTGAGATGAATCGTTTTGTTTCGAACTTCAGGTCAACGCTATACTGGGATATTCCTTTCTTGCTCATCAGATTGACTTTACCTGAAGTGAGTATTCGATATGATTCATTGTATTATTATTGTCAATTTCTTATAATCATCAACTTTAACAGTCAAACATTTTCTCATCATACATTCAACTTTTTATATTATCAACACATTCAATTCCCAATCTTTCCTTTTTGTTTGATGCCCTGAGTATGGTGTTTTTGAGAAAGCTGTCGACTACTTTCAGATTTAATAATTATAAATGAATTTATTGACAATAATATTCCATGATACAGTTATGGATAGGTACAAAGTTTTCAATAATAAATAATCAATCATGCATGGTTCATTTTTTCTCAGGCACCTATTTCCTTAAAAAGGAAGGTGGTATGAAGGTGATTTCTAAAACAAGTCATACACTACAAAGCCTTTTAGGAAATCCAAAAGACTAAGTCGAGAATTCGGAGAGGCTGGAATTTACGAAATTAAATGTAGGGGCTGCGATGCAAAATATTATGGACAGACAAAAAGATCTATCAAAATGAGATATAAGGAACACTCAGCACACCTAAAATATGGAAGACCAAAAAAATCAGCAGTCGCCAATCATATTTTGCAACAAAAACTATTCCGTAGACTTCAGTTCATTAAGATTAGTTAGACAAGTTAACAACAACAGGCTTCTAGATGCCTATAAGAGTGTAAAAATGAGTAAACATAATAATATTTCGCCATTTTCATGCCATCTACTTGTTTACTATTGATGTAAAGGACCTGATGAGTATCTTCATCAAGTAACATCTGCAGAATAATGCTTTCGAATCATCTCACACCCAAATATTCAATTGGGGAGCAATTTCACCTCCAAAATACTCGAACTCTAGAAGTTCCATCATACAATTTTCACTCCTTTGAAACCGGAAGCAGCGGTTACAGCAAAGAAACATTACTTCGAAAGCAACTCCAAGGCGTTGCCAAGATGGATCCGTACCTGACATTTTCAAAATCAGTTAGTGGCGTTATAACATATATCGCTCACGGAGAACAATAGTGGGACAAGTCAAAAAAGTTGAAAACGAAACAAAACACATGGAACAGTTTAAAATTTTATGTAGTTTCATGCATCAATACTGGCATAAAATTAGTTCAGATAATTTCTTCGAGGGGGCGCATGTGTCACTATGAACTTCCACGTCACCGCCACTTAAGTTGCATCTATACCGGCATATTTTCAGTGGGTCGTTGGCTGTGGCACATCTAAGAACGAATCAACGATCTGTTTGAACATTAGTGGCACATTAAGAATTATGCCACTATAGACTTTTTGCTGCCGGCCATTTATTTTAATTGTGTCAGTATTGTTGATACATTGCTTTTTCTTGGTTGTGCCTGTTTAGATTATTGGAAGTGTGAAATTTCTGATTTCAAACTTTGTAGATATAATGTGCAATATGGATGGCAATTTGAATTTGAAGTTGAGGAACAAACTCCAGGTGGCCCAGGCTCACATTGTAAAGTTCCTGGTTTACGTGCGTTCCCAAATTCAGAATTATATACTGAACCAATTAGTATGTTCGATTATTATAATATTTGGTGGGTGTCTTTTTGCAGATGCTTTTGCTCTGACCAGATCGATTGTAGACCAATATGATACTCTAAGTGCTGATGATGGTATGGACCTCAATACCCAAAGTGGTCAGGATACTATTCTGAATGATAAGAATGATGTAGATCCTGAAGAACAACAGTTTATACCTAGTGGTATGTGGAGGATTCATCCTCTTTCAGTTTCAATTTGTGAAGTGTTGTATATTTTAGATAACGCCAAGAATGATGATGATAGTTCTGGAACTATGAAGATGATCCTTATTCTACGGATGACTCAGTCATCGATCTAGATTATGACAGCAGCTCATCGTCAAATTCAAGTGAAGATAATGAAGTTGAAATATCTGATACCATAAATTCAGCAGTGAAGCCAGATACTTCAAAAAAACGAAGGAGAAAAAGAAAAGCCGTTCCTCTGAATGGAAAAAATTCGCTACTAAGCGCCTAAGAAACTGTGGCAAAGCATACAGAACTTTGAGTAAGGGATTACCGGTTTCAGAACGAAAAATGAAACCACCGTGTGATAATTCCAAGTGCAAACAAAAATGTAGCACCAAATTCACAGAAGAAGAAAGGTTGGCCATAATCCAAAAATATTAGGAGATGGGTGATATTGTAAAACAACGTACTTACATTACAGGAAGTGATTCCTGCATACAGATATCCACGTGATGCCGAAGGCAGAGTCGCAAACCACGCATTTCATTTTTTTAAAGAAGCGAGGAAGCTGAGGGTTTGTAAATATTTTTTATAGCAACACTAGGGATTACTGTGCGATGTATCAGAACAGTAAAGGCAAAAATTGAAGAGTATACCGTAGCCAAAGATAACAGAGGAAAACAATCAAATCATAAAGAAATTTCCAAGGAAATTAAAGACGGTGTTCGAGCTCACATTTTGTCAATCCCAACCATTGAGAGTCATTACAAACGAGCACATTCCGAAAAACTTGATATAGACGGAAGTAAGACGATTCCTCAGTTACATCGTGATTATAAAGCTGAATGCGAACACCAGGAAAAACATTTTGCTAATCTAACTATGTAGAGAAACATCTTTAACCATGAGTTCAACATAGCCTTCTTTGTACCAATAAAGGATCAATGCCAAGCCTGCGTGAACTATGAAAATTCAAATGAAGAAGAAAAAGAAAAATTACGAGAAGAACACAACACCCACATTGAAGAAAAACAATCGAGCAGAGAAGAAAAAGAAAGAGATAAAAAGAGTATGTCTTCTTCATACCAAGTAGCGTGTTTTGATTCACAAGCTCCTCTGCCAACACCAAATGGACAAGTATCATCCTTCTACTATAGTTCGAAACTGGCTACCTATAATTTTACAGTGGCGGATCTTACGTCAAAAGGGCAGGAACCTGGGTAAGACAAGGGTAAGAGAGGAGCAATAAAAATAGGCACTTGTTTATTGTATTATTTGAAGGAGAAGGCTGCTGCCTGTAATACCGGTGATCTTGAAATAGTATTCTATTCTGACAACTGCTCCAGCCAACAAAAAAACAAATTCGTCATTGCTGCTTGCCTTTATGGCGTAGCTTATTATAAAATTAAAGCGATTACTCATAAATACTTGGTCACGGGGCATACCCAAAATGAGGGAGATAATACCCATTCCATAATATAAAAGAGCATCAAAAGAGCTTTAAAATTCGGTCCTATCTGTAGTACGCAGTTATAGTACAAACCGCCAAAAAAACAGGCAAGCCTTTCAACGTAATTAAAATGTCTCACGAAGAATTTCTTAACTTGAAGCATTTGACTGAATATACTACTATAAAAAATTTCAGAAAAACCAAATGGGTGAGATATACAGAATAGCCGATGCCTCAATAATTAGGATGGGGAAAAGCCACTTGGACTCTTTTTTTTACAAAACATATTTTGAGGCCACATATTTTAAACAAGTCAAAGTAATTAATGAAAGACGTTCAAGAACACCTCTCTCCACTTTTACAGACTTCGACCTGAGGAAAGCGTACACTAATCCTGTACCTTTTAGTAAGAAAAAATATGATGACCTCATGTTTTTGTTAAGCACAAACACTTTTACAGACTTCGACTTGAAGAAAGCGTACACTAATCATATAACAATATAAGTACTTCGACTGCAAAACAATTATAAATGAATCTCTCATTGTTTCACACCCACCAAGGAAAAAATCTATAATACAACCTACCCTTGTTTTCGTTTTATTTAAAAAAAAAGTTTTGACTACAATTTTTGAAGGTTTCCATAAAAATTATGTCACTTTGTTTCAACAATAGTGGCACATCCTACAAATGTCGCCTTTTGGGAAAACAAAAATTTAACTGAACATTCCCCCATAATTTAGCACTTTGAAACCTGCCAATAACAGCAGGCAATTTCATTAATCAGATTCAAATGACTTGACAATATGAAAATCTAAATTAAGACATTGTAACTTCAGTTATCTCCATAATACTTAATTTTGAGTTGTGCCACTATTGTCGCCGGTATTCGTATTTAAAAATATCCTGAAGTTTTTTTATATCAGGTTTTTTTTTCAGTATGACATTTCTTTTTGGTGCTACCCTGTTTCAGTGATGTGAAGAACATACAACTTAACCGATATAAGAAAATAAAAATGTTTTGACAGTATCTGTATTTCAATCGGAGACGAACATTATTATACTCCTGAAAACACGTTAATCCATACCCCAGAGATTTGGTTATGTATTATTACCATCGAAGCTGGTGGATTGCTTCGGATAGCACAGATATGTAAATGTATTCAGTATGTAAATCAATTGAGAATATACTTGTTTATAAGCAGTTTCTCCCTATTGTAATGAACTTTATGTATTCGAAATTAACCATGGGGCTTGTCCTAGATACACGCCTGATTATTTCTTTAATTGTCTTTGATATATTCACAAACTTTCCATGAATTATTGAGTAATTTGAAATAACATTCAATCCAAAAATTCAGTGATATATTACTATATTTCTTTCAAATCTGTTTCAAACCGTAAAAGATATCCTGACGTTGGCAAATTTGACACCAATAACTGTAAGCTACATTTTTCGATAGCCGCAGAATAAAATTACGATACGTAGCTCTAGTGAACAAAATAACAAAATAACAGTTTATTTCAATATATTTGGTTCAAAGGAGATTGAGGTTAATGTGCTTATATTATGGAATCGAATTCAGATTTGGCCACCGATTAACGTAGATTTTTCAGTCTCAGCGATTTCAAAATTTGTTTCATTTTTACGAAAATCATGGTTTGAGAAACCAGGATAGTTCAGGATACTGCTACTATGTTGGGACATGATAAAAACAAAAAAAGTTGATATCAATGATATTATTTGTGATATTTGTAATACAAAGTAGGTACCTCAAATGTAATAAACTATAAAACTATAAAAACTTGTGTGAATCAGTTTTCCAGTTTTTGAGGTCAATGGAAAAAATTCTAACTTGTTAGAACATACTCTCATGGTATATACGAATCGAACTGACTCTAGTGAGGCTAGTAGCCTCAAATCAAAATATTCTGTTAAACTTCTGAATTGTGGATACGATTGTGGATGCTAACAATCGAAACGTCGTGACATAACTTGGTTTGGAATCTTTTAATTTTTATTTTTCATTTTTTGTTAATAATAATTTTTTATTTTCAGCTTTAATTAATATTTCAATTTTTATTTTTTGGTTGTTGTTTGGTTTTATGTTATTTCTTTGTAATTTCAGTTTTTTTGTTCAAATAAAATTGTTATTTTCGGTTAATCTTTTTAGATTTTTTTCAGGGTAATCAAATCAATTTATATTATATTAGACAATGGAAGTCCGAACTGATGAAATACACCACGAAACATTGTCAGCCACCTTCAAACAAATTCTGAATTTTATGATGATAAACTTTCGAAATCGACAACATTTACTGTTATCATACGCGACTTTGAAACAGCGCGTTTGTCGAAAGCTTGTGTGACGTCACAAGATATGTGCAATAGGCTCATTCTTACTTCATCTCGAGAGAAATTTCGATGTTTTGAAAAACAGTCTCAAAAAAGCAGTTCAGCGATAGACGATGTGACGTCACCAGATATGTAAGATGCGAATTCGACTAGCATTTTCCATTAGATTCAAATGTTCCTGTATAGTGGGTTCAAACTTTTCTGTTTTTTATGTTCAGCTATATTGTGGAGGTATAAATGATAATAACTGTTTCTCTCCAATTCTAATTCAAAATCAATCAGTAGCTGATTATACACAGCAACATCTCCCTCCTTTCAAAATCCACTTCAACATAGTTGAAGTTTCCAGTAAAAATACATATATTCAACATATCGCAACATACTCATCAATCAAATAATTTATTTCCATTCCATATATTTAAAAAATACCGAACCATCAATATCCTCACAAGAATAGTTCAGAAGGTACTGAAAACAAGAATAACAAATTGAGTTGATGAAAATAAGTTTATTTCTGGTGCGACCAAAGATGCGATAATGAAACATTAACTGAAATGATGTAGGAAAAACTCAATGATAAAAAACCTGCCTTTGTTTTTCTCTATATCTTACTGAAACTTTCAACAGTGTTGACCAAAAACAGTTGTTAAAAGTCTTGTAAAACTTTGTATTTAAGAGAATAGCTTCGAAACTGGTGACAAGTTACCTATGTGATGTTTCAGTTCGTCAAAATAAGTGAGCATAATGTATGACTTGTGAAATTTGGGGTGCTACAAGGTACTGTACTGGGCCCAAACTTGTTTACGATCTACTCAAACTCTCTTCTCGCTGGTAGTGGGATCATAAAAATATTTGACGATGTCACAGCAATTTTCTATCGATGGTTAAAAACGACTGCAAACAAATATTCGATTGGTTCAACCATATAAGCTACTAACAGCCATGTATCAACCGTTGAGTTGTATGAAGAAAAATCTACCAGATATAAAAAAATCAAATATATAATTATAATGGAATTATTGAAATCCTTGTATTTATATGAATGAGGTTCAAATAAAGATATAAACATATGGAAGTGGGAACGATTATATATATTTCTCGAGTGTTCATCTGATCACTGCAATGGAGTATTCAAGGATACCACAGACAAGGTTTAGGTACTTTTGTGGTCTTGCTGTTTGTTTTCAGGTGGCCTAGAACTTGCTTTTGTCAACAATAAACTTATTTATTTTTTTATTGCATTCATTATATTTCACCCGCCCATTTTAAATTCCCATTTGAATACATGATGTTGAATTATTCCATAATTATTATTATATTATAACAATATAAGTACTTCGACTGCAAAACAATTATAAATGAATCTCTCATTGTTTCACACCCACCAAGGAAAAAATCTATAATACAACCTACCTGAAATTCTGAAAACGCGCTCCCCGTTCACCCCCAAATAAACATTTGGTATGTAGGAGTATCCATTTCTGATGTGTTGTCTTTTGAGAGATGCAGTCGCATCGAAGTGTTTCCTGTTATTTATATCGAGCGCAACATGTAAGAACTTCTCGTCTGGTGTATTTTTATATTTGCCTCGCGCTAAAACCGTTCCGGCCGAGGATTGCAGGAACAACGTGAGATTCTGGCTCTGCCTGTCAATTGTCAAATTAGCGCTAAGAAGCCTATTTACCGTCGATCCGGGGGTATCAAAGGTCAGAGATACAACACTTAAATCCCTTCGCTGAGTCAATTTGTATTCGAATGAGTAATTATTGGCCGTTGGATCGGATTTCTGCAGGAAGCACCTGAAATTCGCTGGACCTGCTGCCAGAAAATATGGAATGTTGGTCATTTTCGTCACGTTCATAAAACTGTATTCGGTGCATACTTTGAGGCCTATCGTTTGGTCGACTATTGGCCAAGAACACAAGGATTTCGAGAAACGATTCGAGGACATTCCCTTTTGCAAGTGTTCGACGTCGTGCCGTTTCACAAGAATTTCCGACCTGAAAAAGTGCATAGAGAGTATTTTATTATTCGGGTATACTGGTATGTTTCGGTGGCCATCTATTACATGTTCTCATGAAACCACTAAACGTTTACTTCATTTTACACCGTAGTAACGGTTGATTCATTGAGAGTTATCCATGATGATACACTAATTTTTTCAACTATGATTTTACTAAAGACGTGTTTCAAGACAAAATTAGCTTTCACAATATTCACAAGGTTCGAACCTGGCATATCTATCAATTTATCCTTCTAAACATTACCCAACTCAATTCCAAAGTCTCACGTTATTGCAACATGTCGATCATCTACGTCTTTTAAATAATCAAAATCGAAACTATTATCATGTAAAATGATTCATAAGGTTAATTGTATAATTTTCACTATAAACGGTTTTACAAAAACCTCGACACTTGTTTCGCTATAAAATAGCTTTCTCAGGCGTTAATAATGATTTACTTCTAAATTACAACTATTTATTACTCTCTCCTGTCGTATAGAGAAACACGTGTGGCGGTTTTTGTAAAACCCTCCATTATGAAAATCATACAATAAACTATTAATGAGTTTTAACATGGATTTTCATCAAGTATCGGTCAGTTTTATTCAATTATTATTATAAAAACGGAACATTTGTTTGTAATTGATGAAACTGAAAACAAGTCAACCGATTTGAAAATATCAGCAAGTGACATGACAACATGTAACATGTATTTCATTTTCTGAAAAAATTTAGGTCCTTACAAAATTTTTAATAATGTAACTCATGAAAACAAAATTTTGTCTGTAAATACAAATTATTTGGCAAATTTGCCGGGTAAGTTATTATTATTATTTCCAAACCAATTCATACACATAACCTCGATTTCTCAGTCGATTCGTGGATTGACTTTTCTGTCAATTCCATAAATGCGGCACTAAAGGAGATTTAAAATGAAAAAAAAATGCAGAAATGAAAAAGAATACGTGAGTGTAAAGTTTTTAATATCACTCATAAACAATTAAATTCCCGTGGGTTAGGCTATCTATCAGGCGCGTCCCCAGGCGGATAGGGAAACGACCAGAGGACTGGGGGCCCTGTCTTGAAAGCCAATGTGTCCTTAAAGACGGGGTCGTCGGACTCCTGGTCAGTAGCAGAAATAAGTACGGTGAGGGGAACTGAAACTACCCAAAAGCCTTTGCGAAACGTGCCACCGTGGACTAGCCTACCCAAGCTAACGTGATATGCGGTTACGAACAATTCCCTTGGGGAACTGGGAGAAACCTCATTGTAATCAGCCTTCCTCTGGTAATGAGGGGCTCTGCCAGAGGTGACCAACTCTTCCCTTGTTATTCATTGGAATACACATATATGAAACAAACAAACAGAAACAACAAAAACCAATTCCGAGGCTAGACAGAAGTGCTCACCTCAATCTATGGCGGCGGCTGGAGATGAATAGAAATGTCCACCCCAATCTACCACTCGGAATGAGGCCAAAAGGAGAAAGAGAGCGAAAGAGGTAGGAGTGACAGCAACTATAGGTGCACCCTCCTCCTCCCATATTCCACCTTCAACAGCAAGGGCACTTCCTGCTGCGGGCGCCAAGATCTCCGCCTTGAATAAAGGCAAGGAACCGGCTGCCCCTGCAGAAAAGCTCCCTCACTTGTGCACCTCCACGGAGGGAACCCCAAGAAGGTTGAAGAACTATTTTTTTTATCTTTTCCTTAACTCTTGAGACAAAAATATAACGTATGAGAAAAAACTCGTATCTTGGAGCAGACTTTTGTAATTTGTGAGAAGAATTGAAAAAATGAAAGTTTGACCTTGAAATTGAAGGTCAAGTTGTCAAAATCACAAGTATTTTATAGTTTTCCCGTATTCATCATTCCAACTAGAGAATTCCGTTGGGCCAAGATCGATATATTTTAGAATCAACAGATATATTTTTTTTCATTTCAATCCCCATCAGTGTGGCATTTTCGTATTCTCCTGGAAAATTTTCGTCAATGATTTTATTAGATTTATCCTTACTCTCGTACACTACTGGAATCAAGAGTAACGTGTATGAATCTGTAATGACTCAGACGGGTTTCATTACACTATGAAGCATTACTACGATATTACTTTTTCTCATCATACTAATATTGGTCAAACTGGCAAAACATCTAGGAATCGATTCCAGGAACATCATATGAGCTATGTAAATGGGAAAACAAATTTAACATATTCAAATCATCTTTTAGAAGAAAATCATATCTTTAACAAAGAATTCGAAATTTTACACATAGGAAATAAAGGTTTTAAACTGAACCATTTGGAAGCAATAGAAATTGATGAACTCAAAAATTCAAGCATTCTAATGAATGACCTACTGGAATTGGATAGATCACAATTATTGAACTTGTTTTCCTAAAAATCCAAAGAAGTATTATTATTGATATAGAAGCGAGGTAATATACCTTAGGTAATCATAATTGAAAAGGTACATCAGGTATATAAGAGGTTTAGGTAATTTTATAGAGGTAGTCCCAATGGGCTCATTTACCAAATTTTTTTATTTCATAATTTGAAAGTTTATGTTTCAAATAGTACATCTGCGAAAAATCTGAATTTTCACTCTTTATCTTCCCCTTCAAATCAATAGTTGAATGTGACGTCACATCAGCCGCCAGTGCTAGCGGATAAGCGAAATACATACGTGTACTGAAGCCGTAGAGAGCAAGTTGTGTGTTGTTTACTGCAGTTAAGTGTGTCAACTGCGTGAATATGTAACACGTGGTGTTTTCGAACAAGTCAGCAAATGAAACAAAATCCGACGATGGCAGCGATTCATAGTCTCCAACTACACGCCCGGTTGCCACCGCTTGAAGCTCATTGCTTGATGTGACGTCAGGATGTACCGCGGGCGATATCACATTTTCAATTGCTCTTGCTCAGTTGTTAATTGACATAAAAACCGGATTGGGAGATGATTTACTTTTATAATATTCAATTTTCAATAAAAAACTAAATCAGCCTGAATGAGCCCATTGTAGTTTTACCTGTAGTATATAAATATTAACGTAACAAGCAACTTTTAGTATTCAAATTACTGTTGAAGAAGCTACTGTGCTAGCGAAACATGTCGTGATATATTTTTCAAATAAAGTTTGTGGATATCAAATAGTAAGGTGTAGTTTATGAAATCATCATACTCACTTGGCAACAAAAATTTCGTTCTTCTTCCTGGGCAAGCTGAACTTGAGACTGGCCAGCTTATATCCCCTAACCTTAACATCGCCTTGTATGGCACTATCGGTATACATGTTCGTTTTGAGTTTGATTCCGGTGCTTGCATAAAAGGCGTCCACAGACATCTCTCCTGTTAAATCAACGGAGACGCTCGGTTGGATGTCAGCGGAGAGATCGAGCTCGAGTTCTTTATCTTTCGAAAAGCCCGCTGCTTGCAAAGACCCATATAATTTGATGTTTATTGAAGCTGTTCCAGTGGCAGTTAGTGAGAGAGGTAAGCCTGCACCGCTGGGAATAACGTACTTTCCATCCAAAAACATCGCAGCTTTGTTATAATTGATTTCCTGTAGCGAAAGTAATTAAATGAACTATCACGAAAGACTTACTTCCGTTCTCATAACGAAAGCACTCTCCTATGGCTTGTATATACGTTTGAGGAATCTCGGAGAGATGGAGGAGATTAAGAATGGAGGTATATGGGGAGTTTTCAAAGGAAAGGAAAGATGAACGAGGTTTATAACCATTCTTTACAGGTAGATAATTTTATCGAAGCTAGTTTATGATATAGTATCTTGAAAAATATTGTTTCGCTTATAGGCTCCTTATAAATGAAGGGTGAACTCATTATTCAACGGTTTTATTCAATAACTCAAAAATTCAATTCAGAATCTTGTCTACAGTTTCACTTCAGCACATTTTGAAAAACCCCAAGTAATTTAAATATTTCACTGGATTACTTTCGCTTTCTCAGCAGTAAATGAACCCAGTGGAAGCAACGTTATTACGCAGGAGCAAATATACACATTTCATTTTTGAGCAATGTCTTTCCTTCATTCTTATCAAAAAGTTTGTTACTAGGTATTGGATTGTTTCAAAAATTTGGTCTGGTTTTATGAACCTACTTTGAACAGTTATATATAAGTGAATACTCAATCAAAATAAGCGTCATTTGAATCAGTACACTTTTGCCAACGTAACACAAGTCGATTGATTCCGTCAGCATGAACATTGCGTGCTCGGAATATGATGAAGTCGACGAGGGCCGTTTTGGCCGGGTCCTGATTGGCGAAGGTTTTACCGGTAAGGAAGTTATCGAAGTGTTTCACAAATTATGGTCGATTGGCAGGAGGTCTGGAGAGTATAGTGGGCGAGACAGAACTTTGACGCTCAGTTCGTTTAATTTTCGGACGCTCACTTGTGAAATGTGCAGACGTATATTATCGTGAAGCAGGATTGAAACCCTTCTATCGACCAGTGCGAGCTGCTGACGCAATTTTCGGTGATAATTTGGTCCGATTAAAGTGAATAACACCATCCGTTGACCACAATACAGTAACGATGGTCTTTTTTTGGTGGGTTTTCGCCTTTGGAAAGTGCCTGAGTGGCTCGTCGGTGTGCAACCACTGTCCTGAACGTTTCTGTTTTCGTAGAGGAGTGACGATCCGGTCCAAAAAAGGTTCGTTTAGGTTGACAGTCTCCACCAGGGTCCTCAAATTCCCGTCATTGTTCAATGCCTGGTAAATGACACTGGAAACGTTCTGATATAAAATTTTCGTTGGAATAGTGATTTATGAATTATATTCCTTTTTCATCCAAATGTTTCACTGCAAATGAATCAACATTGATGTTGTTGTAAATCATGCCCGAATGAAAATAACGCCAGCCTCTACTGGTAACTATAAACCAAACGTGACGTAGCTAAGATCGCGCGAATGTACGATATTCCCTACCACTCTAGAAGCAGCGAGAATAATGCTATCGATTGTGACGGAACTTCGGCGAAACTTGTACGGCATTCGATTACGATATATGTAGACCTTCCATTGAAGAAGTCCACAAGAAGCCCCGAGTCTTGTTGAGATACGTAGACGACACCTCCATAATATGGAACCATGGGAATGCAGAACTAGACATTTTCCTGACGCACATCAACAACATAAGTCCTTCCATCACTTTCACAATGGAGAAGGAAGTACACAACAATTTGCTTTTCTTAGACGTATTGGCGAAGAGGACCGACACGAAATGGGAAACATATGTATATCGAAAACCCACTCACACAGGACAGTATCTGAACTAGAAATCCATCAATCATCAAGACTCTACTAGACCGTGCTTTCGAACTCTGTAATACAAAGGAAGGTCTCGAAAAAGAAATAGGCATCATCAAAAATGACCTTCAACGGAATGGTTACTCCAGAGTGATGGTAGAACAGGCTTTAGCTAGAAGACAGCAAGAGCTCCACAAGGAACACAACCAGCCACAACCAGTACTTGTACTCCCCTACATCAGAGGATTATCGGAAAGGATAAGAAGGATTGGGTCCAAGCATAACATCACGACCTGCTTTAGATCTGGGAACACTATCCGTAGCAGCCTGACAAAAAACCAGGTCACCAAACGCGGACTGCAATTCCAAGAATTGCATTTACCAGATACCCTGCGAGTGCGGAGAATCATACATCGGTGAAACTAAGAGGCCATTAAAAGTTCGCATTGCTGAGCTCCAGAAACACACACAGCGAGGAGGAACCAGCAAATCAGGAGTAGCAGAGCATGATTGGACTCATCAACATAATATCAAGTGGGCTCAAGCTGAAATCATCCACAAAGAGGAACACTGGGTTAGGAGAAAATTCAAGGAAGCCGCGTATATGTTGTCCAACAACGCATTTCAGCAAGCTAGCGTAGAGATACGTAACATATGGAATCCTCTTATCAAGCGAAAAACGACCAACTCCCGCCAAACGGTCATCTCCCGCTAAAACCAATATTGCGAAAAGAGGAAAGAGGGGATAGGTGAAAGGTGAAAGCACCCGAATGACCTATAAATAGTCAGATCTCGGAGGAATAAGTCCAGTTATCACCCGAAGACGATTATTAATCTTTTATTTTTTTCAGGGATTTCAAATCAATTTATATTATATTAGACAATGGAAGTCCGAACTGATGAAATAATATCTTTCATATCATAATTATGAAACTGAAGAAAACTTCACATGAATATGCGCAAAAATTATAATTTTTACGTGAGTTATGCTTTCAAGTGGTTACTATTGATATTTAAATACCGTGGATACATGAGTATTTTCTTAATTCATCAATTCAAGACTCTAGTAGAGTTAGTTTATTTTCAATGTGAAATAAATGAATATTATGAGGGATTATGTTCCTGTTCACCAGTTTCTTACAATTTTTGTTTGTAAATGACTCTTTTCTTATATAAAACCCTGACGAAATTCATAAAGGAAAATCTTCTCTCAGAAGATTCTCTTCATTATTTTTCAGCTCAAGTTCACGATTATATGATGGAGTTTTTCCCAAAACACGGTACTCCTGTCACGGTACATTCAATTCTTCAAGAGTATGCTTCTGAATTTGGAAGTCAAAACTGGAAAAAATCATATGATGACATGAATGTTTATAATACCTCTGATACCATATATCACAAACACCATTCTATTTGACTTTTTCGCAGTAATCATCACACCGAAAGACTCAAAATGATAATTCAGGAAATGGATTATTTTCTGTAAGGATCTGAAATTAAAATTGTTTGCCACCCCGAAGGAAAATATTGGCAAAGCCACTGACCCCAACACTAAAGCTCACTACATCTCATCAAATGAATTTTCCAGCAAAGCTTGATTCTATGTGAAATCTCAGAATATTCTCAAGGCTGGTTTCAGATCTTTCAAATAAGATTCTCTTAGTTTGATAAGTTCACTGTATATACTATGGAGGTACCTAGTATTCATTAACCTCTAATAATCTTATATACTCCTTGTCAAATCGTCAAGCCTGAAAATGACATTCATCACTGTCTTCAAGAATATCTAGACTGTCATATGTTTGTTTATTATCTGAACTCAGCATATCAAAAGAACTCAGTGATATTAAGAAGCCTTATTTCCATCCAAACCAACTACTTATTAGACGAGGAACATATTCAGGAATCGCCTACAGAGAAATATTTACATTGGAAACTATTCTTTCTTTATAGATCATTGACAAATGAATGATCTAGTCCTGAATTGACTTTCATAACGCTGCAGAACATGCCCAAAATGTTTGTCAATAGTTTTATCTCACGATCCATGTGTGATAATTGGTACATGATTGTTTTTTGAGTAGAACTCTCCTTCGTTTTCGAATCTTTAAGTCTTTTAGTTTCATTCGGATAATCTGAAACTTGTAAAAACTTCACAGGTCAAAGCATTCCGTTCTCTAGATTCAATTTCTCATCACAATCTTAAACTGTACCCACAATTTATGGAGGATGTGTGGTCTGTCACCCAGTTGTCAATGAACTAAGTTGGTTTCCCACTAATCTGAACATCATCTTCTTTGCTTCATATCTTGCAGAATACTCCTGAATACACTCCTGAGCTTGTAGGTAATTTATTTATAGCTTCAGTTATGGTCTCCTATATAGTACTTTCGAACTTCTAGAGCTACTGCAACTTTGTGATTTGATAAGTAGTACTCAACTCTGAATCGAAAAAAAAATTTCACCAGAAATTGAAATTTCGTAATACTGTTGCGACAAGAATCTAGGAATTTAAAACGTTTGTCAAATGAAATAATACCAAGAACATCAGAATATTAACACGTTCTGATCTCAGGAAATTCCTAATACCACAAGGAAAATCTCATTTTTCACTAGTGGAACCAAAAACAATCGACGAAAATCGATACTCCACCACAAATCATCGAAGAAAAAAAAGCAAAAAACTTCTATCATGATTCTCCATTCAGATTTCAGGTTCAGAATGATGAGGACTGCATTTCATGATTGACCAACGCTCACCAATATCATATAAGGGCAATCTGAAGTAGATTAGAAGGAGAAATTGTGATTTCTGATATCTAATGATGTCACTTCTATTCTATGTTTGAAAAATTTCAACTATGTTGAGTAGTAAAACTATTCAAGCTAGTAGAAGAATGTGTTAAAATCAACGCTGATTAAGTGTGGTAAACAGCTCGAAGACTGATCGAGAATATTCCAGAAACTTAGCTCTCTATTGAAAGTTTTAGAGAACGCATCGAGGACTCAGTTTTGGTATTGATAGCTGGCAAATTAGAAAGCAATATCGAAAAGTAATTTTAATAATTCAGTAAAGTATCATTGAAGTATGTGTAGAGTTTTTCCGAATTATATTTTTGAGTCATTGAGTGAGTAAATAATTGACAATTGCGCCATTTATAATTCATGTTAAGAATGAAACATTATTTTGGGAGTGGGAGAGATTCCTTTCAGGAATGGAAGAATATTAGAAAAATTTTCAGTAACTTTTTTGTAAACGAAACCATATTTCCATACAGCTCGTCGTTTTCATAATACTCGTAGATTTACTGAGTTTTCTACCCGTCTAAAATGTATACTCACCTCTCCGGATAAAATACGCTTCAGATGGTACACAGGATCAAGGGTTTGTATAGCGGCTCGAATTTCTGAGTGTCCATTGAATGTGGCATAATCCGCATCATTGCCAAATATCTTGAATCCTAGGGCCACCTTTTGCATGAAAATCAGTCAATTAGTAACAAGTCAAACACGATTTGTACTTGGTGACATCACCCGATTAGCTATTCAACTGGCCAAATTCGAATTGGGGTGCAATCGGTATACAGAATGGATCAAAAATAGTGCTTCAAGTGGTAAAAATTGAAAAAAGGTGTTTATCAGATTTCTGGTAGCTATTGAATATTTATGAAGAAAATGTTTAGCCCGATTTCGATAAATAATTTTCTTGATATTATCATGATATCACAAGATGATCTGGACAAAAGCATTCATCTGAGCAATGTATGTGCTGAGGAATTCTTTCAATGGTGCCTGAATAATGAATTGATTTTAAATGCTTCCAAAACATTCTTCATGGTTTTTCGACAAAAAAATATCAGCAGTGACGCAAGCCCTCTTGTTAAAATAAATCAATTGAGCAAGTATCAAACATAAAATTTCTGGGTGTAACAATTGATGAGAAACTCAAATGGAGAACTCATATCGAAAATCTGGTAGGGAAATTGAGTAGTATCAATTTTATTATCAGACAACTGAAGGACACTGTATCTATAGAGGTTCTCAGAATGGTATATAATGGTCTAATGTCGTCGGCACTCACATATGGCTTGATCTTCTGGGGTAATTCAACATATATTGATAAAGTATTCATTGCTCAGAAGAAAATCATAAGATGCATGATGGGAGTTCGAAATAATGTATCTTGTTAAGCTTATTTCAAGTCACTGTAAATTTTAACTTTACCATCACTTTATATTTTTCTTCTAATTATGAATATCAAAAAAGAGCAAGATACCTACATGAAAAGAAGTGAAATTCACCAACACCAAACACGGAATAAAAATGGCATTCGCTTACCATTATCTAGGCTTAGTGTGGGACAGAATTCTCCAAAATACCAAGGAATTCTATGTTATAACTGTTTCAATAGGATCTTTGGTGAGATAAAAAATGTAAATACCTTCAAAACAACATTATTCAATTACCTTAATGAAAATACTTTTTATACAAGAGAGGAGTACCTCACTGTTTGATGCACTGTCTGTGAGTTTTTCATATTTTCTTGTGAGCTCTATTAATGTTTTTGTAAGTTGTAATACTATAATATGTTTTGACTAGTCTGATGAGTTTTGTACCATTGTGTAAAAAACTTCAATGATGAATAAATTATCTTTATCTGTATATTGTATCCAAACATGTCGTCTGACTCTTAGTCAATGATATCAAAATATGATTTTTTTTGCTAACCATTTGAAACTGAAGACTTTTTGAGTTATTTTCATATATCAAATTAACTAAAAGAACAATTCCTCCAAGCCAGTCTCGATTTACCTTCTTAGTAGGTTTATGGACTCACACCTGTCAGAAAACAACTATTCCCCTGGCTAATACCACGAAGGGTGTTGGGTTGGATATTTTCATAAGGCATGCAAGCAACAAAAAAATATTTAATTTTTTCGATAGTTTGATCTATGATGATTTTTTAGAGTTCGTTATGTGAGAATACAATTACCTATTGCAAGAATTGAATTATCACTATGAGCAGAATCGACTTCATCGAGGAGACTATATAAGGAAATGGATATTTCGAAATAAAATCTCAAAATCTCTTCCAACCCCCTACACCGTAGGTTCTGGTGAATGCCTGCTTGAAAACAACTACTTCTCCGGCTGATACCACACTGGATATTGAATTATATCCGACAGACATGTATGCAAGATATCTCACAGAGGTTAGTCTTGCAGATGCATCGAGTTGATCCTTCAGCAAAATCACACTAAAATCAATTGAGTAGATTACCTATAACACGATTTCGAAGTAATACCTCTCTTCAGTGCAGGAAATATCCGATACAAACAGTAAAGTGTCCGGGACTCGATTAGTTCCAACGCGGCGCGACTGACTGTATGAAACCCTCTTGTACGAGAAATATTTCTCTAGCAGAAATAAAAAAAGAGGATCGTCAACATCTTCATCATCGAAATAATTGCTGAACATGGCATTTTATTTCACAAAATTGTATTCATTCATGTTATTATATTTACTGATGTGTGTCATTAATTTTTTATTAGTGTTCGAGATATTTCGGCCACATTGTCCAACATAAACACTATTACACGCTGGACAACTCAAGCTTATGAACTCCAGATTCATCTATTTTGTTCACTTCATCTTTATATTCCTTATGAAGGAAATAAGATAACCTGGCATGTAGCCTGAAGTGAAAGTGGAAGTGGACAAATAGCTTGTTTGTCGTTCGGTTCAGCCTTATTCGAGAAATGATACTCTGAAAGGAATTCGATTTTCTATTATGGAAAATCATCGACTTCATGTTGATGATGGACACTACCTTGCACTGACGAGTGGTCAAATAGCCCAAAACCGGTCTACAAGTGTGTCCGTTCCAATAATAAAAAATCGATTCCGGCAGTTGTATCGCTAACAGCATATGCAGAAATTGCTTTTGTGAAGAATCCTGCACTGACACCTGTCGGATAGAATCCAACGCCCTTCTTGGCATCAGCCAGGGGAGTAGTTGTTTTCTGCGTAGGTGAGTTGAAACTAGCCTGAACGAGTCGTTGTTAGATGTATTGTAGAATAATTTAATGCACCAGTTCGACTGGAGAAATTACTGTGTAATGAAAAGCGTCTGCAGTAGTTATTAATGTGAAAATTGTCTTATTATTCCGGATAGTGTTATTGATTTCCATCAAGCAATAGCTCAGTGCATTAATGAGAAATCAATAGAAATTTTTCGAACTAACTCCATGTAAAATACAAGTTACTCTTGCTATTATTGTTAGGAAAACGCATAGTTTTCTAAAGTTCCTTCTCACAAAATAGCTGGTATAAACTCCTTCACCGAGTAATTCTCACCTACCGACTCGTATGTCTCACTTGTAAATTCAAATACAGAACAGATATTTTGATATGTGGTTTGAACCATCCGAGAACGAAAACAACTCTCTTCCAGTTGTTCGAGAAACTTTCCTCGTTTGTACTGTCAGAATAAACCAATTTCGCAGGATGTCTCATTAATTCCTCAATAAATATTTCAGTTATTTCCCCCTAAACGCTTCGTTTCCCAATTACCATAACGATTAATATTTTAATACCAACCTTAGGTTCCTCGTGAACGTTACTCAAAACATTAGGGAGCTTTTCTACTTGACTCTTGATAATTTCATTATTTCTCACACTCCTTGGCCACCTCAGCTTGTCCATTATATTATCCTTTAGTGTTTCTGATGTTCCTTTGGGACCGAAAAAAGACTCCAAATAATGCTCGAGACCGTCCATCCTGCCATAAACCTAAAAATAAGGTCAACCCAATTTATAACCGAAACAGTTGTGAAGGGAATATATATTGAACGACATAAAACATATTATACTAAGCAGAAAAGATTGCCAATTAAAAGCATCAAGAGTCTTTCTTCTTTGTTGGAAGAATTTGCAATTATATTTGTGACGAGCTTTAACTAAATGTTTTGCATAATTTACCTAAATCACCAAATAATGTTAAGGATGTAATAGAATGCACATGAAATCAAACGTTTTAATTTGCTTTGTGAAATATCCATTTATATTGCCTGCATTCATGATATAAACCCAGTTTTGAATCAATTTATTTTTAATATGACCAAGGGAGAACCTAGTATTTTTTCATATATCCTTAGACCAGTGAGTTTCATGATTTTAAATAGAGATAGAAATGGCCTTACTGGTTTACTACCTCCTCATATAAAAGGAAAGGAAGAAATGAGAAGGATAAATATGTTTTCAAATTTGTGTCATTGTGACGGAATAGTTGCTTTTGTAGCAACTTTGTAACAGATTTCATCCGTTATTTAAGCTGATTCGTGCTGAAGAGGCAATAAGCCTTATTCCGAAACATCGAATGTCCACCTTTGAGAATGATAGTGTTCCATGTGAGTGAAATTTCACCTCTTTTATTTACTATATTGTGTAGCAATCCTGTGAATCATATCTGGTTCAATTCCATTACGAAAGTTTGAAATACAAACTGAATAGAAAGTGTTTTTTGTATAATTCGGTATTAGAGTTAATTTTTATGTTTTGAATGAAATATATTTTTGATGTAGCTACATTTTTGAATATTCATTACCCTTAAGGGTATCTTATACCACTTGATTTTCATAAGGTTATCGGTGGGGCTAAAGTTATTGAAATCAGTATTCTGTTTGTTCATTGTCCTATATTTTACTTCCTCCAGACACGAAAAATACAGCTCTTCTGTTTTTCATGACTTTTGTATCATCGCAATTTTAAAAAGCAATCCTTCATCTCAGTGGTACACAGGTATTCTGACTGCCAATCTTCATGTCACCCTGTACATAATGTGAAATCATACAAACCTGCTTACATTACTGATACAGTAATTCAATAATGACATGTTACCTCTAAAATATTTACGGCTTCTCCAAACAAATCAAAAGTCAAGTTCAACATGGCAGATTTGGGTATATATGAGGATGGTGAAAATATAACATTGCTCTCGTAATTTCCACCTACAAAGCAAATAAAGGATTGATGGTAAACATGAATGTGCAAGTGGTGTTATTCAACTCGTTGAATGATTTGAACTAACATTGGCACTATTTGAATGGTTAATAGCCTAGTAAGCGGTATCCCTGATATCCATTTTCTTCAGCCCAGTCAAATTTTATATTGTATACATAACACCATGAAACAAGTAACTGGTCATTAGTTCACTCTCTATAGGAAGGGAAAGTATTCGGAAATGTTGGTTCATTCATCAACGCAGCTCTTAGGAATAATCTTTTGGGATAAACACAGCTTGTATCGACGATGGGGTTGACTTTTTGTGTTATTTCAAGAGTTTCTTTTGAAATTCCTGGGAAATGTCCCCATTCTATGTATCAAAATATACATTCCCCATATAGCTTCTCAAGAACAGGGATTATAATAAAGCTTCCACACCACTAGTTGTTTCAGAAAATATAAAATCTTGAACAACTTCAGAGGGAATTCCTGTAGATTGAATTTTTCTCTCAGTATTTTTTATTAAAATCCAATACTTGGCATTAAAAAAATTGGTTCAAAGAAATTTAACTAGTTTATTTTCATTTGTATTTTCATCTCTGTTTCCCTATGTTTTCGAAATTGTAGTAAAAAATAAACTGCTTCCAGTCTACATATTCATGAGAAATCGTATATTTGGTTCTTTAACAACAAGAGAATAACATGATACTTTAAACACATGAGATGCACTGTTTGGGATCTTCAAGAGCAAGATCAAACTCATCTTCCTCTTGAAGATGATTACTTGGTGATCGAAATACGTGTCGAGGTGTTGAAAATAACGATTTGGCACTGAAACAGAACTCCAGTAATATTCAAAAATGAGGTTGCTGTCGTCCATTATTAATTTTACGAATTGTCTCTTCCTTTCAAATATTTACAACCTGGCACTCATATCGTAATTACAGTCCTTATCGAACATTCCTCTTTGAATTCTTTAGTGAATTTCCAGGCAACCATTTACAAGAATAAAATTAAACGTGAATACGATATTGCTGAGCGTGTAAACTATATTGATACAAATCGCTTCGATTTCTATTAAACATTCAATTATGCCTCTGTTCGATTCTACTCTGTTGCTGGTTTACTTACCGACATCGTACTCATTGAAAAAAATTGATCCTTCGTAGTTTCGAGAGAACTTTCGAATATCGCTGTCGAATTTTTTCACCAAATCTTTATCGGATAGAAGACTTTGAACTTCGACTTTACTGGGATTGGCAGTAGTAAGTAGATTTTTCAAATGTGTCCAAACAAACGAACCAACTGAAAATCAATGAACGTTAAGCTATCAAAGATGCAATCAACTAGAAACCTCAAAAATGTGGGGAATACTGTATCATAGAAAAACTTTCGAATATGGAAGTGAATTTTATTTTTGTATAAATGTTGCTGACAATGTTTTTAATCAAGGGGCTTAGACTTGAAAAGGGTGCAAGGACCGAAATATTCAACAGAGTCAGTCAAAAGTGAAATTGATATCATGAAACATGGAAATAAATGATAATCAATGTATATTCAATATATA